AGATAGATAGACAGACAGATAGAAAGATAGATAGATAGATAGATGATAGAGAGATAGAGAGATAGAGAGATAGAGAGATAGAGAGATAGAGAGATAGATAGATAGATAGACAGATAGATAGATAGATAGATAGATGATAGAGAGATAGAGAGATAGAGAGATAGAGAGATAGAGAGATAGAGAGATAGATAGATAGATAGACAGACAGATAGATAGATAGATAGATAGAGAGAGAGAGAGAGAGATAGATAGAGAGATAGATAGATAGATAGATAGAGAGAGAGAGATAGATAGATAGATAGAGAGATAGAGAGATAGAGAGATAGATGGATAGATAGATAGAGAGATAGAGAGACAGAGAGATAGATAGATAGATAGATAGACAGACAGACAGACAGATAGATAGATAGATATATAGTCTCGATATCTGAATTTGCCTTTGAAGATGGTCCCAATACTGGCGCCGTCACAGATGGTTAGCTCACCAGGTGTCGAGGTTCTGCCAAACTACAGAGTGACAGAGATCACCAAGAAAGAAGTCAAGATGAGAAAGAAGAGCGGCGAGGAAATGCCGCTGGGACCTGAAGATCCTGTGCCCCTTTGCAGCTGGCGGGGTGGATGGAAACTGCACTAGGTGTGATGGGGGTTGGGCTTCGCTGTTTCCATACCACCTGAACAAGATGCATCAATATGATTGTGACCTTCCATACTGAGGACATTGCCGAATGGTTGACTCTCGGACTGACAGCTGGTCGAGCATGTCAACAGAAAAATGCACTACCGGATTGGAAGGTTGACATTCAGTGCAGGTGTCATGCCATGATCGCCATCCATATGTACTGAGGCATTGTTTGGGCTGCAGGGATCAAGCAGAATGAGCTCACCAGCCAGCTGGAAGCAGCCTTGCTAGAACTGAATGATGATGGAAATATGAGACTCGGCATGGTGGTTCAAACCACTTAACTTGGAAATCCTTATTCTCATCAGGTCCTTAGTATTCTGGCACCCCTCTTCAAACAATTTGATCTGCAATGCAATTGGATGCATCAAAACAGACGAATCCATCACAAGGAAGTCCATTATATCTGTTTTAGACCCCTTTTGTCTTTTGGCGGTTAGTATTACAAGCACTTTCCATCACGCAGCAATTCACTCCACAACACACAACAGCGTCAAATAGGGAGTGCCAGATCACATATCAACCATAAAATCCATGGTCAAGTTTTGATATGATATAATTATAATCATAATATATATATATACACATATGATGATAATATTGACATATTTGCAGAACAGATAAGAAATCACATAGTCACATAGAATTATGGCTTTCCAATGGTTTCAACATGACCATATCACATCTTTCAGTTCAGGCTCTTCAAGGCGGCGGACTTGGACAATTTCGGTGATCTCACTTTGACTGAGCTCAGGGACCTCTTCCAGGTGGGAATTTCGCCGTCATATTTCCACTCTCCACGAATATCCACTATAGCTATAGGATTTCTATAGGTTCACCACTATAGGGAAAAGTCATTGGCATACTATGATAGTGAAATTTTATTGTTCTGCATAGTTCTTTTGGGGGAAATTGCTGTAGTGATGGTCATCTTGAGTTCTTGAGCTGAAACTAGTGTGCCGAAATACTTTGGATCTCACATGTCATCCACCATGGTCCAGGAGGGCGGAAAGGGATCAGAAGTTTAAGGACATACTATCATATACTATCTATTTTGATTTCCAAATACTACACTTGAGGTTATTTCTGCAGTTATGTATTGTAATGTTATGTGCAGCTGAAACCCCAACTATAGTCAAATCCTCAATTGTTGGTCAAAGTTTTGTAGCTTGGTCGACTCCCTAGCTCATTGGATCCTTGGTGCGCCATCTCCCATCAGGGCGCCTCGGACGAGTTCTCGCAGCTGGAGGGATATGGGCAGTATTTGTCTGCTGTGGTGGATGAGAAATCGAATCCACTTGCTAGTGGAATTACCACATTAGGAGACTTGGGACCTGGGGAGAACATGCAGATCATGCAGTCCAAACAGCTCAACGGAAAGAAATGGCGATGTTTGTTGATGGCACCCACTTGCCGGTCTGACCTGCAGCTGATCTTTTGCTGAATCCCAACATGCTTTGTCCTGAGACTGTGAAGTTAGGAACGTACTAAATTTTGATAGCCATGAAAGAAGTGTTTCCAATGTGGAGAACATGTCATTTGCGGATGTTGAGCATGTGCCTGTGGAGAAAAGATCGCTTGAGGTATTGGTAGATGAAGACTGGTTTATGAGTCGTGCCGACCAAGTGCCTGTTTGGTTCTGGTACAGTCTAAATCAGTTGAAACAGTTGTAGAAAATGTGAAAACATGTCAAGCCATGGATCCTTAAGTTTGAGAAATTCTGACTGATTTGAACTGCAGGATCAAGTTGTAGAAGCAGAGACTGCGGTGGAAGATTGCTCAATAGCAGTGTGAATAGTATCATGGCGAGTTTGGTTGTGACACTGGCGGCACCGTTGCCACGTCCAGATCACACCCTGGCACGTGAACTGATCCTGAAAGGGCTGAAGCAATGCAATGAGGCGCGGAAATAGGCATTGGTTGATCTGTGTGGATAAGATTGATTATATCGTGCTGTGGTTAAAGATGTGACTCAAATCTAAACACGGTGGGAACAAAGGGGGCAGTGGATGGATCCTCATCTTTGAATCAGTGGTTCAGTGAATTGAATCTCGAATCCTTGTCATTGCTTCGCGTATGGTGTCAGTAGACTACTGATTGTCATCTAGTGACAGCATACGAATTTCCATGGGTCCATGGAAGCGTGATTGTGTTCTAATTCCGTGGCATTATGATGCGTGATGGCTGCCAGGAAGCCATTTACAAAATTCGTGCCCAATCGAAGCGAACGGTTTATGTGCGACTACGTCAGAAAGAGTCGCTCACGCTGCTCCTGAGCGATATGAACAAAAGCGGCCACACTGCGACGAGTTTATCCGAAGAAGCTCACAAGGAGAAGGTGAGTGGTGTAGTGAGGATCTTTATGGTTGTCTTGCATGATTGTACTTCTCGTGGACAGGAAAAAACTTTGTTGGTTTCTTGCTGTTCATGTTCTTTGGCAGGTGGCTGGTGATGATGAGCTCAAGAAGCGCAAGATGCAGCAGGCGGCCGAAGCTAGCTCTGTTGCAGCTGAGAACTCCAGGGCGGCTTTGCACTTGTTGGAGCTACGAGGACAAGGCGGCTCACCGAAGCGGCAACGGCAATTCATGGACAGAATCGCTGGGGTGCTAGACAGGTCACAGCGGTTGCTCACAGCCGGTCTTCGAGTTCGTGAAATGGCAGATGCAGAAGCTCCCGAGGATGGGCAGAGTTGAATTCATGTCGTGTACAGTGGTGCCGGTTTCAAAATAGATGTGGGCCTGGAGATGTTGGCATTCCGTAGTGCCATATTCCGGGTACTTGACGTCATTGGTGGCCCTTGTACAGGAGTATCAGGAGTCTAGTCATAGTGAGGTTCCAATTTTTTGGTGGAGATTGCTTGAAGCACAGAGCTCGTGGGCATGCTCATTTCAGAGCACTTCATACCAATAGATCAGTCGATTGAGTGAAACTAAGCCATGCGCCTAAAATGCAACGCAGCTTGAAAGTCTTCTGCGCACGAGCAGTTTTTAAAGGACCTGATCGATTGTTGCACGGTTCCACATGAGCCGATGGCCGTGAAGCACCTCAGAAGAATATGTTGTATGTATGTCATGTTTGCTCAGATGAAGCTACTGTTTGCAGAGACCATTGGTGCTCACGTGAAGATGTGTTGAGGACATGCGTGAGCAAGTGTAGCATGTCCAAATCGATAGCCGATAAATGTTTTCCTTTGGAAACAAAGATGCGATTCTTGAGATGATCTGGATAGGTATGGAGTGAGTGTTTCCAATGCGGAAAACATGTCTTTTGCGGATGCTGATCGTCTACAAAGGTCAGCTCGACTGCTTTGATCTGCGGCCTGTGGAAAAAAATGGCTTGAGGCATTGGTAGATGAATGATGTTGGTACACACATGTATGCTGATCTCAGATGACAGCACAGTTCGATGACTACTTCTAGGATCATCGCTTACAGAACAAGATTGCCTTGCAACTGTGATTTCTCCAGTAAGAGCAGTGTAAGGCAGGTTCGATTTTTGCTGTATTGGCTGGTTTGCATGAAATGGTCACTTCGGAATGGGTTTTCAAAAAAGAGGGATTTGAATTTTGGATGCGTTTGCGGACTATGTGTGGCCAATGTGGGGCCATCGGAGCTTAAGCCATTCTTGGGTTCCATGGAGGTTTCTGGAGGTTCGAACATTTCCCAACTGATTTTTTTTTGGATCGGAAATGTTTCGGGCCTCTCTTGAGAGCTATATGTGGCCAATATTGCCCATGTTGGGCCGTCGGGGTTGTCCTTTCTACTCTGGTTGCGTCGTTTCAAGTACTATTCTCGGGTTCCATGGAGGTTTCTGGGGGTTCTAACATTTCGCAACTGAAAATTGTTCGGTTGGGAAATGTTTTGGTTCCCTTTGTGAAGGCTATATGTGGTCAATATTGCCAATATTGGGCTATCGGGCTTCTCCTTTGTACTCTTGTTGCGTCATTTTGGGGGCTATTCTGGGGGTCCATGGACGTCAGACATGTACATGCTAAAATGTTCTCCGCCCTGTTTCCCTACTTTTCTCGGACTGATATACCGAAAGGTAGTTTTGTTTTCTGTCGGTTTTCGTCCCGTTCCTCCGCTGTTCCTCATAAGTGGTGCCAATGCAAAACATGTCTCAGTGGTAAAGGTATCTCGAAGGGGTATTGTGGGCAGCGTTCCTCCGTGACGGTGCTGTCGGCCTGATCAGAAAAAAACAACGAAACGCAACTATGGATGTGCACAATTTTGACTGGAGGCAACATGAGGGAATCCTCCTTGAATTGATTAGCCGTTTTTGTTCGGTGTAGTATAGAGTGGTGGGTTGGCGACAGTCTGCCATGGCAACTAATTTGGCTGCACCGAAGTTTTCACCGCAGAAGCGGGCGAAGCGTGAGCAGGCGGCGTTGGGAGTGAGCGTCTTCGAGGTGGTCTGCTATGCATCCGATGCACAGCTCATCTTCGATATGGAGCCTGGCATTCCGCTTTACCTTGTGGATGTTTCGCAGCCTGGAAAACCAAGCCCTTGGTATGCCTTCAGGGATCGATTCGAACAATTTCTGGGAGAAGGACATGCTGCAGACTTTGGATCATCCCTGTCGCAACTGGTGCCTTAAGCAGCAGAAAAGTGGGGTTATATGTTGTGGTTTGTGGACGTTTCAAGTTTGAAGTTTGTCGTGGGTGTTGCATCCCGCTGCAGGATGAAGAATCACAGATTCACCTGTCTGCGGAGAGCATCGCTCCTTGGCGGACGGGCCTGTATGTTGGTGGGAAGGACAATCTGATCCCAGCGCTCTGGTTGTTGGAGCAGTTCCTGACATGGCGCGTGGGCTGTGAAGATTATTCTGGTGGCATGCCTGAGGCAGGGGAAAGCTGAGTGGATGGGAGGGAAGCGGACATGCTCAGCCTGTAGTTCGTTTGTATGAATCATGCACGACCCAGACTTCATTACCTATTCTACATTATTCTAGGCCACAGTAAACTATTTTATTGTACTTTGGTTATGCTGTGCGGAGAGTACATCAGGTCTCCTGCAGTGCGGAGTTGTAGGCATGAAATCGTGTTGTATTGTCAATTACATTTGGCACAAAAAAATCTTTGCAGATCAAATCAGATCAAATTAGTTCCACTTGAAACAGACCAGTTTGCATTGAGTAAAAGGAAGTGTTATTGGAAGCTCTGTTGATTTTTGTGAGCATCGATCTAAGTTGGCCATGGCATAGCCATGGATCTAAGTTGGTGTAAGCTGTCCATTGGCAGGTAGCGATCATTCTTCGCACGTCAGTGGACATCACGCCCTGGGTGCAGACGTGCTCGCTGCGGCTGAAGGTGGAGCAGAAGGACTTCGATCTGGAACATGCGAAGAAGTTGGTTGCCCCAACGTGGAGCGGGCATCTGAGGATTACAGTTGTTGGCAAGGGCACGGATGGTGGATGTCATGCAGAGCTGCGAGGGCCTACGTGGCAGTTGCGCGATATGTTCGCAAACTGGTCAGGACACTATGAGAGAAAGGACGGCACGGTGCTGATGGCACGAGAGATGGGTGCTATGTATTGCAGACAAAGCCCTCAAATGACCGAACAAGTGATGGTCTCGGTTCTGATCGAGTTGACGAAGAAGGTCTATGTGAGGAGCATGGAGTTCAAAGGTAGCCTGAGGACTGAGACAATTCAAGCTTTGAGGTGAGCTCGTTTGAGCGAGAGCACCAGTGGAGGAAGTGTGTAGATGTTGGCATTCCGTAGTGCCAAAACTGTTTCAGAGCGTGATACGCACTTTAAAGCAACTATGTCATGTTTCAAGCACAGATCTGGATGTGTTGCATTTGCAGACAGAAGTTGTCGCAGACCGGTTGTAACACTACGAGATCATTCTAGTGAGTGAAACTTTGCAATCGCACTTCGAACGAGTTTGGGTAGCCATGCCCTGAAAATGTAACGCATCCCTACAGGCTCATGTGCACCGAAGAAAGTTGGAGCAGCTTTTTAAAGGAGCTGATCGAATGTTGCATGGTTCTACATTGGCTGATGGCCGGGAGTAGCTATGCAGAAGAATTTGGTTTTTGTGTCCCATACTTGCGCAGACTTACCCACTATTTGCAGAGACATGGGTGAGGATGTGTTGAGACATGCGTGAGCAACTGACTCCATTTATAGCATGTCCAAATCGATAGCCGGTCCATGTTTTCCTCTGGAAACAAAGATATCATTTTTCAAGTACATCTTGATAGCCAGAATTTGGAATGAGTGTTTCCAATGTGGAGAACATATCATTTGTGGATGCTGATGCTCGACAGCTTTGATCTGCGGCCAGTGGAGAAAAGATGGCTCGAGGCATTGGTAGATGAATATAAGGAGGCAGACGAACATGTCCACATGTGGTAATTACCGTGCAAGATGAGAAAGTCAAGTCCCAAAAAACAATTCTAAAGTCGATCCAAAAAAATTCTGTGGGTGACAGATAGGAGCTTGGTAGTGCTTGTTTGGTCCTGGTAGTGTTTTGTCTGAGAAATTCTGACTGATTTGAACTGCAGGATCAAGTTGTAGAGTCAGTGAAGACCGCTCCATGCAGCAGTGTGAATAGTAGCATGGTCCTGATCCTGAAAGGGTTGAAGCAATGCAATGAGGCGCGGAAATGAGTATATCGTGGTATGGTTAAGGATTCACATGTTTCACTCAGTGGGTCAATGAACTAGATCTAGGCACTAGAGCCAGTAGACTTCGAGTGCACTGATCTGGGCACTTAGATGAGATCTTGTTTTCGGTGATTGGCATCTAGTGAAAGCAGACCAATCTACATGGGTCAATGAAAGTGACATTATCTTCTGATAGTGTCATCACGTTGCGTGATGCCTGCCAGGACGCCATGTACAAAATTCGTGGCCAACTGAAGCGAATGGTTTGCGTCCGACTATGTCTGAAAGATTGTCTCATGCTGTTCCTGAACGATGTGACTAAAGGCTGCTGGTGGGTATTTTGCAAGTAAACCAGAAAACCATTTGTAGAGGGTTGTTACACTTTCATACGTCAAAGCAGCATTTCTGCGGAAATTTGCAGTTTCTGTTTCTCGGATCACTGGTTTGATTTGTTAAACTCAGTGGAGTCACTAGAATTTACCTCCATGTCATCTTCCTTCTCAACAGTATCTTTCTCAGCAGGATCATCATCATCATCATCATCATCATCATCATCAGCATGATCATCAGCATCATCATCACCATCATCATCATCATCAGCATGATCATCAACAGCATCATCGTCATCATCATCATCATCAGCAGCATGATCATCAGCATCATCATCATCATCATCAGCAGCATGATCATCAGCATCATCATTATCATCATCATCATCAGCGTGATCATCAGCATCATCATCATCAGCATGATCATCAGCATCATCATCATCATCACCATCATCATCATCATCATCAGCATGATCATCAGCATCATCATCATCAGCATCATCAGCATGATGATCATCATCATCATCGTCATCATCATCAGCATGATCATCAGCATCATCAGCATCATCACCATCATCATCATCAGCATGATCATCAGCATCATCAGCATCATCACCATCATCATCATCAGCATGATCATCATCATCATCATCAGCGTGATCATCATCATCATCATCATCAGCATGATCATCAGCATCATCACCATCACCATCATCATCATCATCATCAGCATGATCATCAGCATCATCATCATCACCATCATCATCATCATCAGCATGATCATCAGCATCATCATCATCACCATCATCATCATCAGCATGATCATCAACAGCATCATCGTCATCATCATCATCATCAGCAGCATGATCATCAGCATCATCATCATCACCATCATCATCATCAGCATGATCATCAGCATCATCATCATCATCACCATCATCATCATCATCAGCATGATCATCAGCATCATCACCATCACCATCATCATCATCATCATCAGCATGATCATCATCATCATCATCATCATCATCACCATCACCATCATCATCATCATCATCATCACCATCAGCATTATCATCATCAGCAATATCACCAACTAGATCAACATCACCATCAACATCAATAGTATCATACCTTATCTTCCCGCTCCCGACACTGTTTGGGGTCTCTTCCTGGAATAATTTTCGAAGGGACAGCAAAAATGGATGTGACTGTTTCATCCAAATGGGTGTGACTGTTTCAGCTAAATGGTGACCAACCCAACTTTTTTTTTCTGTCATATTCATGGTTGACATTGAGATCTTCGCGTTCCTAGAATTGTATGGAACCAGTATTTTGGTTGGCATTTAATATGCTTCAGTCTAGGAATTCACGTGTGAACGATCCACGTGGTTTTTGAGCCATGTATCTTTGACAAAACAATGCAGACTTGTTATCTTGTCCTATTTGTGGGACTTTCCAACTGCAGAAATTACTACACTGGTACCCTGGGCTGTTAATTCAGGTCCTCATCCGCATTCCCATTTGTAGCAAGGTGTCCCAGCAGCAGCTCCAAACTCTAATGTCTCTCAGAGTCTAATAGGATATTTCACTAACAAGTGATGGTTATCCATGCGACTCAACAACTCTATCGCAACTTCTGGAAGTTACCATGGCACCATTTGTCATCCCAGTCCTTCCACCCGCCGTCCGAATCGGCTCTGTCGAGGCGATGCATGGGCGGGCATGGAATTCTTCCGTCGAAGATGGATCATTGCGGAAGACTCAACTGCAGATCCTTGATAGCATACATGTCATGTATATGAATGCATTTGATATTATATTGATATTATATATAACATATGATATTGTGGTAATATGTCTATATATACATATCAAACTTGTCCTCGTCGGAGTTCCGATACTTGGCCTTTTTCGCTTCACATGTTGTTTTCGAGTGACAGGCACACTGAACTGCCCCTCACCCAATCTCAATTCTTAGCCCAGTCGAAAATATGCAGGATGATGCCCACAAGTGGACCATCAAGCACCAGCGTTACTGCTGCTTGCTTGAGCAGAAGGCTTGTATGAAGAAGGCGTGCTGCATCATATAGCTATTCGGATGGTGTCTAAAATACATGTGTTCCAACAATACTTGGTGGTTTATCCCACTTATTCTGGTTATGGGATGAGTAGGGTTAATCCACTCACTGGGATATAAGCCACTTGTTCAGTGGGAGGAGCCATGAAGTAACATTCTGTGAAGCAGGTCTGCACTTGTTGACTGAGTGGTAGCAAGCTCCAAGTATGGCAGCGTCAAGTCTTCGCACCAAGCAGGTCGTGGAGCACGTGCATAACATCACCGTGGTCAAGACGAAGCCTGTCCCAAAGTACATCCCTATGAAGGCATGTGGATGGAAAAGTCACAGGATATTTCTGGATGATTTCCATACTGAGTTATATCGAATGATAGGATCCTACAGCGAATGTAGTGCCCATAGGATCTCATTGGTGACTCATGATATAATTGATGTGTGTCCTCTTACTTGGCAGCTATCAGTTCTTCACTCTTAAGCTTACATTCATTTCGTATACATCTATATATATATATGCCATCAATCCCACTGAATGATATCTCTACAGAATTATTTGAAGAAAATGAATGATATAGATTCATATATGTATATATATATGGAATGCCTGTTGAAAATGTCAGAATTAGATATGAAGAAAGAGGGATCAGCCAAAGAGCTGTGGGCAGGTATCGTTGCATTCGTCACTGTTGGGATACAGGTCCACTGGGAAGGTACACGGTGTAATTCACTGTCGGCATCACCTCTGTCAGAAAGTCTACTGACTAGGATTATATTAATTATGTGTATAGATATATATATATATACATATGTCTATATGTGTGTATATTGTATATGTATATATATATATAGAAGAACGGATAATGATTTGTAAAGTGGAGTGATGTTCCTAAGGCTCCAAAGCATGTCCATGCTGAGTTCTTGGCTCTCTAAGGATCGTGTACAAAATCAACAAGACGAAGCAACTGGGCCTGAACTCCAGGGCCCAGCAACGGTCAAGGAGGTCATGTTTTGGTTCAATTTCGTGTTGCTTATTGTGCCAGCAACTGCAAAGTAACGACATGACATCAACTGATATCAGATCATATCAGATCATGGATTGGTTCAGGGCCCCTTTTCCCTCCTCATATTTCCACATCTTTCAGTTGCGAGGTCTAGCGAAGTCCCCGTTCCCGGCAAAACGAAGATCGTGGTGCAAGAGGATCCCTACGATGCTCAGATGCCACCCGAGGTATCTCCCGGAACCACATGCCATGTGACAGGTTGCATAGATAGATAATAGAGGTATACAAGATACATATATATATATAGACATATATTATAGGTAATATAAGACATGTATATAATATATAATATGTAGTTATATATATATACCACCCACTGCACAAAGAACCCGCCAAGGATGTGCTATCATGTGTTTGCTTTCTGTGTAAATGATTGAATGTGTCTTTCTTGTTCGGTGCTGCAGTGACAGGTGGTGAAGATCTATGATCGTATGAAGCCTCTTGGATGTTAAATCTGTTGTTTTGACAGGGCAGAATCCGTTGTCAAACCTGTGACAGAAGGGGATTTGCCATGGCAAAAAGATCCAAGGACGGAACCTGTGGAGCATGAGCATCACTTCAATTGTACCTTCGATGTTTTGGATGTCTTGGATGCATGTTTGCTGGATCCCTGGTAGGTCTGAGACAAAGATTTGGGTCTGTTATGGTCTTAAGTTAGGGGACCTAGAAATGACAGATGCAGATCGCAGCGAAAAGATCACAAGACGTCGTCAGAAAACATCATCAGCTATAACATATATAAAGATATATTATACATACATATTATGTCTATTTGTTTATGTACTTCTTTATTTATCATGTTTTATACATATATATATACATGTATGTATACATACATATTATGTCTATTTGTTTATTTACTTCTTCATCTATTGTGTTTGATATATATATATATACATGTATGTATATTGGCGAAGCGGAAACAGCTTGAAGTCACAAATGAAAGGGAATGTGCACGAGCACCACTCTATTTCTTCTCTACCGCTCGAAGTAGCTGATGTCTCAGCTCAAGGGCCCTTGTGCCCATACAGCCACAGATGATCATACATCTTTACAATGAATGGCAATGCTGATGCAAGAGGCATGTGCATTTCAACACGCCCTCATGGATGATCAGATTGGCACTTGCAAAACATCATAGAGTGTTCAACGTAACACTCGCTTGAACGTCTCTTTTCCTTTCTGCTGAAACTTGGAACGTTCCAGATACGCGGCAAGGTCAATGCCAGGGCTAATCTTCGGAGGAAAGCAGCCAGAGTCTTCAATCCCATAGCGATTCTTGATCCAGCACAGATAGTTGTAAATCTCCGGGTCAAAGTCTGACTGAGATACCATCTGGGCATATGTCAACTTCTTCTCTTTATATTTCTCCAACTGACAAACGGTGCGGCCCCATTCATGGATGGTCGAAACACCTGGAGGCAGTGGAACCTTCAAGTTCTCAAAGGGATGCGACTCAGCATCAGGCATGGGTGGTGGAATGGTCGAGCCACCAGCTGCATAGCTACCACGGACTGTCCCCATGTAGCCTTTCGGTGATGCGCCTGCATAACTCAACTGATCCCACTCTGACTCCTCATAGCCAGCACTGATGCGCTCGGCTTCATCGCGAGCTTCTTCGCGGTCACGCTTGCCACTGAGCTCCATCTCTGACATGACGGCATCTGCAATCACAGCGAGAGGCTTCAGTCCACCTGGCTGGTGAATGAAACCATCAAGGATCAGGCGCTGCTGTCCAAATTTGACAGCACGGGCAAGAAGGCTGGTTGCCATCTTCACCTCACGCTCATTCAGCGGTTCTTCGCTGACTCCCATGGCTTCTGGCTTAGCGCATTTTGCACCACGACTCATATTTGACACAGCTGTCTATCGTTCAAGGGATGGAAGCAAATGCGGCTTCTCAATTGGCTTGGACCTCAAAATGCTCGAGGTTTGGCTCTTGGCTGTGTTAAACGGCCACAAGGTGCTTGAACAGCGGATATTTCTGCAAACCTGTACACAAAAACTTGCATATCTCCACATGTCTTGGACATTGCATGTTTATTTATAATTTAATTATCCCCCTATGGTTTATCCCATTTAGATTACCAATAACTCTTATTTGAGATGGCAACGGCATGGGCGACACAGGGAATGGCAAAACGGTTTTTGCAAGCTCTGGCATCTGGTCTTCCTCGTTGGAGAGGAAATGTCGATCATTTAGAACCATCATGCACTGGCTCGCGGCCCTTGGTGACTGCTTCAGCCTTTTCCTTTCGACCTGACTGTGAACAAACTGTAATTTCGTATGTGCCGCCCTCCATGATTTCCAGCAATGGACGGAGGTCACCTTTAAGCTTTGTGAGGCAGTCTGCTGACATACGTAGATTATTCACCCAGAACATCAGGACATGTTGTTTTTCACAGGTTTCCTTTGCTATGGAGTAGTCTATTTGAAGACGTCTTTCAACCGAGATTGCTTGGCTACAACAGCTACGTGTAACAGCATCGAAGAAACCCTTGCTATCCACTACTAAAGCTGCTGGATCTTGAGGGAACTGATTCCTAAAATCCTTTGGGGTGGTGCCATGAACAGCTTCGGCTAACAGTGCTTGGAACATTTCAACGGCATCCAAACCATTTTGACCTGACAGGGTTTCTGCAGCTACTGAGGATCTTACCTTACGTCTCAACTTCTTTGATGACCAGTCTACCAGCCAGCAAGTGGAACGTTTACGTTCGAAGATCTCAGGTGTGGTAAGGCAAAGCAGGTAGCCTCCTTGGCTGTCACCACTTTCTCTCGTACCCCAGCCGGCGTCGGCTATACAAAGGATTCTCCAGGAGGAGATTGGCACAGTGCTTGGAAAACACAAACAAAGCTTTCTTTCCTTTAGTTCACGGCATGCTTTGTTGAACATGGTTACATGAGACACTGTGGCCTTATCCTGAACACCTTGCAAGTATGATGCTAAGAAGGCAACATCGGGTCGGGTGCTTGTTGCGACCCAGGCAAGTTGACCAGCACATGCTCGCATGATTGTGGGGTTTTGCAAAGGAGTAGACGCTTGCCCTAAAGGCTTGGTTGGAACTTCCTTGAGGTTTTCTACATAGTTCTCCTGACCCACTTCAATCTCCATGGTGTTAGGATTCTGTCTGATTTCGACTCCAGTGTATCGGATTGTATAGGTTCGATAGTCGCCAAAAGGCAATCGTTTCTTGAGGTTTGCTAAGATGGTATCCATTTCTTTGGTTCCACCTCCCAACAAATCGTCAACATGTATACCACATATGCCAACCAACTTGGAGTTGCGGCGGAGATAGTAAAGGCAGGGGTCCAGCCTGGATGCCACCAATCCGACTTCTTTGAGCTCACGGGTGAGTCTGAGAAACCACTGGCGTGGCGCTTCTGCCAGCCCGTATGCTGCTTTTTCAAGTCTGAAAAGGTCATCGGAATCTAAACCCATCCATTCTTTTATCTCTGGGGGTGGACGAAAGTAGATACCTCTTTGTTGGGGGTCACCTGATAAAAACGCAGTTTTGATATCTGCTCCCCAAATTCGCCATTTTTGGGCTGCACAAATGGACAAGACTAGGCTTTTGGACTCTTTCCTTAATGTTGGGCTATCTGTTGCAACTTGTCCTAGTTCAGGGTCTTGCCATCCTACCAACACCAACCGGGCTTTAGGGGTTTTACCCTTGTCATCAGGGTCAGAAGACTTTTTCCATACCAGAACCCATCTTGCACGGATGATTCTATCAGGATCTATCCCTTTTGATTTGCACAAGGAAGTTACTTTGTTTTCAATCCAAGATTTCCACTCCTTTTGCATGGCTTTTGTGAAGAGCTTTTTATCATCAGGATTCAACTTTCTAAAGGACACTTCAACCCTTCGTTGTTTTGCAACAGGGGGAGTTACCTGGAAACAATCTTCAAGAACTGACCAAAGGCAAAGTGGATTGTCCGTTATGTCTTCTGGAAAAAGGTTCATGGATACTTCTAACACTTGTTGAGGACCTTTTGAGGCGGTGACCAACAAATCATCATCTTCATTCGGAACTGCTGTGTTGACGGCATTGTCCAATTGGACGGCATCCTCATTTTCTGGAGCATCTGCAGGCACAGAGGCAGGTGCATCGTCGACAGCATCAGTTGCCTCATCTACGGGATCTGCAACGCTAGGAACGCCCTCTGGGCTTGGAACTGCATCATCATCGAATTCTTGATCGTCAGCTAGTGAAGGCTCGATGTAATCTTCAGGTTCTTCTAGTGCAGGATCATTCAAAACTGATGGCTGTACCACTGATTGTTCAGGAGGATCTGCAATTGTGACCCGTCTTCTTTTTGATTCATCATGGTTAGGACTATTGGGATGCAAATGGACTATTGTTGGGGTAACACCTTCATGAAGTGAGCCCATAGGACCAAGTTCTCCAGATGCACGTTTTGCCCAATATTCCGTTGAGAGGCTTGTTCAATCTCTGGATGCATTCGGCCAGCTGACAGCTCTCTGGTGAGCTCTCGAAACCTGTGCTCGTCTTCGGGCAACGGTCGAAGACCTTCAGGTGAGCATCTGTAGAGGAAGCCATTGTATGAAACCCAAATTAGTCGTGGAATAACACCATTGGTTGAAGATTCACTTCCAACAATTCTTCCGGGGCCCAGCCAAACTCCATGTCGAGTGCTAAGTTGACCTCTACCTCTACGGCGACACATGTAAACAAGTTGGCCAGGCACGTATGGCCCACGCATTGGTCGATTGCGACCTGCTATGGCTCGGCGCCAGGCTTCCTTTGCATGCTCCTCCAAAAATGCTTGACATGCTTGTTCGCGCAACATGACTCGGGCAGCAAATTTTGGATCGGCCAACACTTGGGATTGGGTTACAGGATTACTTTGCTCATCTATATCGGCAAGAGATGCAGCATGGCGGGGATCTCTACCCAGGAACCATTGGCTTGGACTAAACCCACATTTACGGAGATAGTCATTACGAACACTACCACACATTTCAATGACTTCTTCTGGACTACGGCCATGAGTGGTACGCCAAACTCTTTGTGCCATGTTGCGCAAAACTCTGTTGGAAATTTCAGCTCGGCCCAACTGCCAATGTGACTCGGCTGCGGCGTGTAGGAGCTGAATGTTGTAATGAGCAAGGTATTGTTGAAAATCTTGACCAATGTTACGGTGATCTGGATCCATGTAGACAACTTTGGGAACACCATATGGTCGCACCCACACTTCGTGGAACGCTTTGGACATGCCACGGGGGCCTGGAGGGACCACAATCTGCTGTGCAAAGTCAGTTGCCAGGCAGACACAAGTCAAAACATTTCTTTTGACTTCATAGATTTTTCCATCTTCTCCTTCTTTCTTCAACTCAACCTGGACAAAATCTACGCCAACAACTTGGTTTGGACTCTCTGCATGGGCAATTGTCGCTTTGCGGTGGATGCTTGGAGGCTTTAATTCCTCGCACACTGGACACTTGAAGGAACGGATGGCCTTTTTGATGGTCTCGGATGCATTGCACCGGTTTGCAAGTCTCATGAGTTGCTCAGGTGACGCATGACCTGTATTAACATGTAACCTACGAACCAAGGCAACAGCTTTTTGTTCATCTCTGTTGGAGGGTTCATCATCCATGTTTGGCTCATCTTCATCTCCATCGTGTCCAACAACTTCATGGCGAAGTTCTTCTTCGTTTGGATCATGCATGGCTAGGATCTCTTCGCTCGTGCGAGGTCTGTCATGTTCATGTTTATGAAACTTCATCATAGCCCCCACCATTATCTTACAAAACTTTCGGGGATATGTTTCGGCCCAACTTGTAAGGTTTTTACCCTTATAGGTGCCCTCCAAGTGATCATGTTTGTGGTGTCCATCGCAACGGTACCTGGAGGCAATTTCAACAAGTTCTTGCTGAGTGGTTACAAGTTTTGTGGGCTTGAGAATCATGTTTTTGGTTTTGGGACTTCGGAGACCCAAGGCACACTGATCCACTCGGCACACCCAAACTGTACCAAGGCTGAGCTCGCTCCATGCAAGGGAACTCAAAGGATTTTCTGCATGGCAATGGCCACCAAGTGCTGTCTGCAGTTGCCAGGCTTCTGAAACCATATGCAAGTATCGCCGGGCAATTTGACGTTGTTCCAAAATATGGCTCTTCAGGGATTCATCCTTACTCATGTTGATGTTACACCAGGGACCCCAATATTTACATGGCCAGCTAAACCATACATGTTCAGGCTGTGTAAAAGCTATGAGCAACAACAACAGTCTACGGTCTCGGACACGTGTGAAGTCCTGTCCATAGGAGAGGCCCAAACGGATGCTGGACTTTCCGGTGGTTTGCTCATACAATTGGGACAAGGGGGCATGTCCTGTGAACACTTCAACAAGGCCAACTTTGGTATCAAGTACTGCAGACTGATCACCTAGCCAATCGGCAAGCTCGGCACGCACGCTGTCAGGATCATCGGCCAATTGTGAAATGGCTACTCGGATGCTGGTTTTTCTCAACTGTTGGATGGCTTTTCGGATGGCATCTCGGGAATGAGAAGGCAGGCTATGTCCAACATCTACCCAGTCAGATTCTTCATAGAGGGTTTCTAAGAGAATCTCACCATCTGGTGACTGGGTGTCACCGGCATCGCATTCACAACAACACATGCAAATTGGCTGTTGATCCGGACTTGAATCGTCGGCACATACTGCGGGCTCGGGCGCACGAAAGCAAAACAGTGCTGCAGGCATGGGACTCACAGGTCGTCTCTGCACTCCTGAAGGACGCACTTGCCAGGGGGATACATTGAAGGTCTTATCCTTATCCAGGGAGACTATGGATACCAGATATTCTTTATTTTCTACATCATGGGGGATTCGTTCTAACTTGGGCTTATAGCCAACGAATGCATGCTCAATCTGGTTGCCGCTTGCTCCATAGATTTGGACTAAGTCATCCTTATGCCTAACTATGTCAACAACCCCATTCTTAGTGTTTTTAAGGATGGTTTGGAAGGCACGTTTCCTATCACCCTCAGTTATCTTACGGTGATTATTGACAGGCTGGCATTGCGTGGATGGCTTGGGATCACTTCGGTCCTCCATCACTGGCAAAGCATGTGGTTCAGGAACTGCAGCTGTCTCATCGGAGTGATGCGCATGGGACACCATGGTTTCGGAGGTGTCTGTGGCATCTTCATCATTGGGCTCATCGGTTTCACATGGTTGGATCTCGAAATCATCTTGAGCTGGGCAAATCGGCAGGAGCAAATGGCCGTTGGCGGAACGGCTCAACTTCACATCTTTCATGCCATGCTTGTGACTTGTAATGGTCTGTTGACCCAGGTCTATCAAAGCTTCCATGTTCTCCATCACACGGCGGGACAACAAGAAAGGCGTTGCACCAGGCACAACGTATGTTGAAATCGATCCATACAATTCACCAAGCTTAACTGTCCAGCGAAGACTACGAGAGGTCTTTTCAACCTTTCCAGAAAAACCACGTAACTCAACTGGAGGCATCTCTAGTTCCACAGGCGGTGGAAATCCCTGGGCAGCAAAATGTTGAGCATAGCGAGCAGCTGTATCAGCACCAACAACGGACGTGGTTGCACCTGTGTCCAAAATTGCAAAACCCGCTGGAATAGATGCCAGTAAAACATCCAGTTCAGAGTCATTCATTGGTGGCAGTTGCACATTTACCATGTAGTTGAATTCATTGACCTCACTGCCAACAGCTAAATGGGCTTCCTCCTTACGTGGATAAGGAGTTTTGGGATACTGCTTGGTGGTCTTGGTCATGACCTTCTTCTCAAACTTCTTGGAACCCTGAGGAGGGGCAACGGTCTGTGATGACGAAGCTCCACCTTGACCCTCAGGAGGAATGGCAACTACTGGAAAGTATGGCTGACGTGATTTCTTGATCTCTCGAACTTTCTTCTTGGAGTCCTTGTAAGTCTTGAAATTCCGTTTGAAGTCTCTCTTGGCTTTCTTTTGAATCTCAAGTACTTCTTGGATATCTTCATCGGTGGAATCGCCCTGTCCTTGAACTTCAGTCTCATGTTCCCCAGCATATACTTCATCCCCACTATCTGAAGAAAAAGGCATATCCAGTGAAGAATCATCATCATCGTTATCAACATGGATTGCATAGGCTTCACGACGTTGAACCTTTTGAGGTGGCCGGCTGCCACGTCGATCATCAGATTTGCTCTCCTCAAAGTCGGAGGCTCTCAAAATACGTTCAATGTCAGCAAAGCGGGATGAACCACCTGTTGCACGAATCACCTGAGCTCTTTGTTCTTTGCTGAGGCCAAACTTGCGCATGAACAAATGACCTAAGACAGACTGAGGGAACACCGGCTTCGGCTTTGTATGAGAGGCTTCTACTGTTCCCAACACACGCTGCATGCGTAACTGTGCTCTGGCTTGATCAGCTTTCCATGTTCCAGCAGAATGTTGGCCACGTGAGGATTTGGATTCTGCTCTAGGAGATTCGAAAGCGGCTGTCTGTTCACCAGCAGGGGCACTTGGAGAGGCAGCAGCTGCACTTGGTGCATCTGGCTCAACATGTGTTCCATCAGGGCCATCTGTCGGTTCATCATGGGTATCATCCGGGCCATGACTGGACTCAGATTCTTCCAAGCTACTGTGGTGGCTGCTACTAGAGACATGACCAGCACTGCGGGTACTACGAGACCTCTTTGTCTTCTTCTTTTTACGCTGCTTCTTGGTCAAGGCACGTTCTTGGGCAATCAGAGTCTCAAGGCGGTTGAGCTGTGTTTTGAACCTGCTTGCAAAGGCTGTGGCTCCTTCACCTCCACGTCGACGCAGTAAAAACAAAAACTCATCAATCGCCTCATGAAGCTCTGTTTCAGGGAGATACTTGTAGTGCTTGTCCAGAGTCTTCAGCACTTCCAGCCAGCCTTCATTGCTACGAATGCTTGCAACGGACAAATGCTCTGTTGCCCGCCAAGCTTCGCCACTCAGCCTATTCAAAAGGCGAGGACCCGCCAGATGCTGTTGTTTATCTTCCAGACTTGCTACTGACAAGATAACCTTTCTACGAAACTCTCGATACCCTGCAGGCCTACCATCAAATGCCAAATCCCTGAAGGGGTCCTTGACGTCCATCAGGAAGTAGCAACGTTGTAAACACTGCAGGCACCAATCCACCTGGTGACAGTAAAGTCACCTCCGGTTCACAGCAAACAGCTGTCACAGATAGCACCGCAAGGTGCTCACACGGTTGCAGGAGCTGGAGCTTAACGCTCCGCTACCATGGCGAAGCGGAAACAGCTTGAAGTCACAAATGAAAGGGAATGTGCACGAGCACCACTCTATTTCTTCTCTACCGCTCGAAGTAGCTGATGTCTCAGCTCAAGGGCCCTTGTGCCCATACAGCCACAGATGATCATACATCTTTACAATGAATGGCAATGCTGATGCAAGAGGCATGTGCATTTCAACATATATATACATACATATTATGTTTATTTGTTTGTTTACTTCGTCATGTATTGTGTTTTATACATATATATGTATATATATATAGACATGTATGTATATATACACAAATATTATGTTTATTTGTATATTTACTTCTTCATTGATTGTGTTATATATATATACATGTATGTATATATACATACATATTATGTCTATTTGTTTATATACCTCTTCATTTATTCTGGTTTATATATATATACATGTATGTATTTATACATACATATTACATATATATATATATTTATCTTTATGTGTAGAGACACATTGATGGTTTATATATATACATGTATGTATATATACATACATATTACATATATATATATTTATCTTTATGTGTAGAGACACATTGATGTATATACATATATGTATATACATACATGTACAGATTATATATATATGGTCCCGTCCTCCATCTCTCCACCCTCCCGCTCCCCCCCTCCAATGGGTTGGCAGCATTTCTGAGGTCCAGCTTCGTATTTGCTAAGTCTTTGCAACATTTCTGACTACCAGTCTCGCATTTACTAGGTACATGTTACCTTTTAGGTGACCTACGTAGCACACAGACTCCCTCAAAATACTTACGTGCCGCCTACGTGCGACCTATAGTCATATATACATGTGCTATTTATCTACTTCCTATTTATTACCTGTGTACTCTGACAACACTACACGTGTTTTACATTTACCGATATGGATGTATATATGTATTGTTTAGTATATTTATAGTTCAGGGCAAAAAAGTGTAAAGTTTTAGCTTATTCCTCTCGCAACTAACTAGAAAACCAGACTCGTTGAGCTTTTATATCGACCTCCAGCTGGGTAGCTCGCCGCCGAGGTTTCGAAGCTGTTGTCCAATTGGTACTGTGGATGGTCCCCGAGGAAGAGGGAATGGCGCTGCGCCAATGAGGACTAGGGTAAAAGAATGGGAGGATCATCCCACAGAGCGTACCTGGTTAGTAAATGGCGTTCGAAAAGGATTACAAACGGGATAAACCACTTGGGGGACTCATTGATCAAGGTTATTGACCAGTTACTGAGTGGGATGATCTTCCAAGTAGTAGTGTAAATCCATGGTGGTTAATCTCATGACGATGCCGCTGATGGTACATGTCAGAAGGTGGCCAAAGATCATCGTAAACATATGTACATAACCAATCTCATGGTATGAAACATATAGTATCTCATTCCGCATGGTGTCATAACATGGCCAAAGATGGCCTGGCACCCTGAGGACCGGGGCTGCCCTGGTGCCTGGCATGGACATGGACATGGACATGCTCACTGGTGCCTCGAAAAATCTGGGAGGAGGAGTTCCTCACTAGCGGCACTTCCGGTGGTCGAATTTGGATGTTTTTCTCCACTCAGAGATCAGATTCAAAAGGGAACGCATGAAATCCACTGAGGAATCCTCACATTCCATCATTTTCCTTGTTAAAATGGAAGGCAGGACGGTTCTTGACTGAATTGATCGGCAAGGTGACAGGGCCTATCTATGCCTCTATTGATTTGATTGGAATCAGTGGATTCATGGTTCCGTTTCCCCAGCAAATATTAAAAAAGAATCTCGCGGTTTCCAGTTGCAATTGTCCCGAATACGAATTCTTAGCTTTCGAAGATTGGAACATCAGGCCACACACAACTTGGCCAAGGATGTTCAGTTTGATGTTATATTGGAAAGAACGATGATCTTTCTAGATGCCCTTTTTGTTGCTCTGAGGGTACATAGATGATGCCTCTGATATTGCGCGTGTTTGCTAGTTTGTTTGACATGTTATACTTGCAGGATAAACTATTGCTCCTGGGAATTTTGACTGAAACCAGCCCTATCGTACCTGTTACATATTCCGAAACTGAAGGCCTGCAAAGTTATCTCTCAAGAATTGGACTTGTGTCACATATGCTGTTGTTGATGGGGTACCACCCCCCAAACATGAATATAGACTTGTGATGACTTGGGGAGTAGAAGGTTAGAAAGTTTACCGGAGGGTATCAGTGGGTTGGTTGGGAAATTTCGGGAATATGTTGACTGGAAATCGTTGGTTTTGAGAGAGTCTTGACAAATGGAGATGGAGGAGGAGAGAGAGAGAGAGAGAGAGAGAGAGAGAGAGGAGAGGAGAGAGAGAGGGAGGAGAGAGGGAGGGAGAGAGGGAGGGAGGGAGGGAGGAGGGGGGAGGAGGGAGGGCAAGAATGAGAGCTTGATACCTTTTTGCATGCCCTTGGTCAATATTTTGGTAAAGAATCTCTATTTTTCCATGTGATTCCGGATGCCACCCTGCCAGGAGCAGCGCGGATGTGCCGCGCACACCTGCAGTGGGATATCCATGTCATCCTGGAGGGATGTGACGCGTGACTAGTGCTGCAGCAATTTCAAGCTGCCCTAACGTTTGATTCTGTAAGACTATGATTTGACATCCGCATCCTTGCCGACATTCTCCATCTTTGTTTCAAGTAGAAACCATATTCTTCCTGATTGAAAACTAAGGCAACACTTAGGTAGAATATATTGGAATCGGACACATCTATATATATTCAGGTGGGAATCTCCTGAAATGTTTCCCCAAGTAGACGCCTGTGCAAAGGGTCTGTTTGTTGGCATGGTGAGCCAGTCGGACAAATATTCTGCGCACTTTGGCGCGTGTCCGAATTTTGGCCGCGCCCGGGTGGTTTTTCAATGCCTTGGTTAGCAAATGACTGTCGCCTCTTGGCTTTTGATTCTGAAAGCGTCCTAAGGCTTCGGGGTGACTGGCAGCAACGGTTCGAAAATTTCTCGAAGTCTGTTCAATTTTTTGATGAAGTAATGGTTGTGGTAAATATACATCGAGAAGGCATCCTGAGAGGTTTCATATCATTCCCTCCAGTTGATAAGTCAAAACTAGAGTTTGGTCAAAACCCGTTAATGGGTATGTTTGTAGACCCAATGCGTGAATAGCTCCAAGAATGGTTGCACGACCATCCCTCTATGTCGGATGCTTTGGCATGGTTGGTTTACGCGACAGCCTCAACCGTCTAGATATAGCTGCTATTCCCGATGCCTGGGGATGTGGTTTTGCCCACTGGCCCACAAAGAGTGCCTTAAATGCCTATGCGCACGAGCAACTTTGTAAAGTAGCTGATCGATTGTTGCACACTTCTATATGAGCTGATGGCCTGGAAGGTATATTGGAATATCCCACTAGAATTTGGTTTTTGTGTGCCAGGTTCGCTCAGATTAAGGCAGTTTTTGCAGAGACATGTGCCATTGGTGCTCATGTATTTGGAGCATGTCTAAGCCGATAGTTGAGGAATGTTTTCCTTTGGAAACAAAAATGCCATTTTGAATTGAATCTTGATGCGGAGAACATGTCTTTTGCGGCTGCTGATCATGTACAAGGAGCAGCTCGACTGTTGTGATCTGTGGCCTGCAGAAAAAAGATGGCTCGAGGCATTGGTAGATAAATGATGGTTGACGAGATGAGGGCATCAAACTGGTAAAGCTTCACAGAACAAGATTGCCTTGCCTTTTTCTTCCTGTTTCCTCCTGCTGCTGCTGCTGCTGCTCCTGCTTCTGCTACTCTTTCTGTTCAAAAAGGGGCATCTTCAAAAAGCAGTCGCTTAAAACCAAACCACTCCCAGCGGCAAATCCCCATGGCAGTGAAGGACGGAAAAGCATCAAAATTGCGCCCAAAAGCTCCCTAATGTAACTTCTGAAACCTATAGAAAAGGATGATTTTAGCTACGTTTTCTTCCTGTTTCCTTCTGCTGCTGTTGCTGGTCCTGCTCCTGCTACTACTTCTGTTCAAAAACCTGGTCAAAAGACAGCCCCCGATAGGAAAACACCTGGTTGTTGCTGCTGCTGTTGCTGCTGTTGTTGTTGCTGCTGTGGCTGGTGACTGCTGGTGGCTGCTGGTGGCTGCTGCTGCTGTGCTAGCTACTTGTTCCTCCTGCTGTTGAAGAAGTGGCTGCTGCTGTTGCTGTTGCTGGGCCTCCTGACTGGCAGCTGCTGCCTACTGGCTGCTGTATCATAAACTCCTTTTCCCTTACGCGCTCCCCGTGGCCATCAATATAATTGGGATTTGATTTTGGATTGTTTTCAGGGCTATGTGTCGCCAATGTGAGGCCAATATGGGGCCTTCGGAGCTGAGCGTGTGTCAACTTGTTGAGGAGGTTTCTGGGGTACCAACATTTCGCAACCGAAAATTTGTCGGTTTCGGGTCCATTTCGAGGACAATGTATGGCCAATATTGAGCCATCGGGGAGCTAGGTTGGGTTGGGAAATGTTTCGGGTCCATTTTGAGAGCTATGTGTGGCTAATAGTGAGCCATCGAGGGGCTAGTTTGAGGTTCCATGGAAGTCTGTGGGGGTTTTAACATTTTCCAACTGAAAATGTTTCGGTTGGGAAATGTTTTGGAGTTCTCCTTGGTGCTCTTGTTGAGTCATTTCCGTGATTGATACACCTAAAGGTAGCTTTCGTTACTATCTGTTTCTGTCCCTTTCCTCCCTTGTGCCGCTCTTGTTCACCCTCCGGTTCCTTTGTTCCCCTAATTAGTTCTATTGGTGGCCATGGAAACATGTCTCAGTGGTAAAAGCATCTCGGAGTGGATGTGTAAACATTGCACTGGAGGCAACACGAACTTGATTTTTTTTTT